CCAGTTCCCCACGAGGTTTCTGTTCACACACATTTTTAAGCACCTTTTTGTTTTAAAAGGCCTCCTGCCTTGTCTAAATGTGAGCCAGGTGTGGGCCTGATCCAAAACAACTGCTGCCTATTGTTCTTAAATAAAAGTGGTGGTGCTTTGACAAAATAAAGGGGGAGCAGCACAAACACATGCTCAGTCAACCAAAAAATAGTACCAAAACGAAAAGCATATCCTGCAGCATATATCTGTCTTTATAATTCACTTTTTCTACGTTTGACCTCAAGAGAAACTGCTTAATCCTTAAAGTGACATGACATTTACAGCTTATGAATAACTCTCAGGGACAAAGTGAAACAACGACCATATATTATTATCAATATTTTAAATAATTTAAGTCAGTACTTAAAGGGGAATGCCATGTCAAGTCAGCAGGCTTAGGCCTGAAGACTGAAGACACGTTTGAACATTTTAAACAATCTGAAGGTGTGGAGTTAGAAGCGCTTACTAGACCTCTGCTCCTCATCTCTGCTTGAAGCTAGCAGCTTGAGGCTACATTAGCCGCTACGAGCATAGCACAGCCATATATCCGTCTGAGCTGGCACACGGGAGAAGTTTGCCTTCAGGGCTAAAAGGGTTTATTTTAATCAGAACTATGATATTTTTCTAAACCTAACCAAGTAAGGTTGTTGTCTAAAGCTAAGAAACACTTTCTGGCAGAAAGCCCTTGAGGCAAACTTCTCCCATCTGCAACGAACTGTCAGCAGTCGAGTTGCATTATGGGTAATGCATGCACCCAGGTTTGGACAACAAAGAAGAATTCTTGGAATAAAACAATCTCTGGTTCTGCTGCATGAGTTTTTGATCCTTTTCTGTCCATCGCTAGCCTGACAATGTTATCTCAGTGCAATCAGTAGAGTACTCTTCTAACCATGGATGAGACTCAAACTATTATTTTTGAAAGATTTTTGATTAGTTACATTAATTAAAATTCAAAAGGATAAAAGAAACACAAGGCAATATAAAAACACACATTACAAACAGACAAATAAATCTAATTTGAAAGGATTAAAACAAAGTAGATGATTAAAATAAAATAAAAATAGCATGAATAAGATTAGACAGTAAACTAGTAGTACAGCTACAGTGCAGTAAAATAATTCATGAAAAATCCTCATTTTATTTTCATTTAATTCTTTTCATTTCCATTTCAGTCACACTCATTCAAAGCGTATGTGCTGTTGTTCACACCACGCTGCTGCTACAATAAGTCACCTAGCAGAGGCCAGACAATCCTGCACCTGTAGCAAAGTTGGCTGATGGAACGTTTCGTCATTATAAAACCAACCGTTACTGAAGAAAACCACCCAAAACCTGGGTATTGGCAAATATTCGGCAAAGAAAGTTGCTGTTTCTACAAGGAAAACATGGAAAATAGACCGGCTTGGTGTTGAAGAGGTGAATAAGATGATTCTTCCGTTCTGTAAAGCACGCAGGTCTCACCCACACAGACGTAAACCTTGGACAGCAAAAAGCTAATCCATCATAAAACTGAAGTTGGGAGGGTTTGTTTCAATAAGAAGCACTGCACTTTGACTTGGTTTAATCAAGATTTTGCTTGATGATTAAATCATTAATTAACTTGCTAAAGACCTGACATTTCATAAAGCTACAGTTAGAAGCCTTCTTTGCCCAAGTAATTGGTATCCAATTTGATAAATCTGCAGATTTCATTGAGTTATTTTATTTATTTATCAAAACAGGAAGAGAAGCGTGTTTCCTGGGCATCTTCCCTCCTGTCTGCATTGATGCTATGCAGATTTTACTTGGTGTTGATTTGAATGGCGGCAGTGCAGCTCGGTGGGATTCATAAACCTCACGTCCAGTTCCTCAATCTCTGATCTCAGCTTGTTAGAGATGACCCTGTGATGCGAGATTGGGGGGGACGGATGAGTAAAACTTGAGGTGACCCCACTGGCCTCGTCAGCCTGGGCAGGAGAGAGCTGTCTTCTCTTTTTGTCGTCTTCGTTATCAGCGACGTTGGTGTTACAGAATGTGCTGTCTTTAGGTCGAGCCAGGCAGATGATGTGGCAGTGGCTGAGGGCTGAATTTAATGCCAGCGTTGTCCGGCGCTTCCATTTGTATCAGTGACAGTGCTTACAAAAGGGGTGAGGCAGGACAGAGGGAAGAGTGAAGGGAGAAGGAATTAGGAGACCAATTCAGGAGCTGGTTGTCAACACCAGGACCTCCGGTTCTGAAAAGTGAAGCCAATACGGAAGTGTCTTGAACTTGCATTGATCCCATTTACGAGAAAAGAAGGTATGCTTAAGGGCGGGGCTACCTTGTGATTGACAGGTCTCTCCCTCTGGCAGAGCCGTATACAACGTCTCTACGTCAGTCCTCCACAGTCCAAATATGGTAACTTCCGTTCATTGTTTGCAAAAAGTCAAGATGGCGACGGCCGTAGTCTAGAAACGCTGCACTCGATTGGTTTACCGTTGTACCGCAATACTTTCACACCGGCAAAGCCTAACAGTGATTCAGAGATAATAGAGTGGCCCCAGCAAAAGCCCCTCTGCCCCATCACAAAGGCAGCCAGTTCTAGATTATTCTATGAACCCTGACAACAACTATTAGATGCAATGACATTTATAAATGTGCAGCTCCAACAAGACCATCAATCTCCTGGCTTAATCAGTGGTGACCCAGTGAATCATCACTTCTGTCCATTTCTAATCCAATGACTTCAGGGAGAAGGCGGAAGGCGAGGCAACCCAACCAAAGTGTTGTTTTTTTTCTACCGTACCGTCAGATTAGAAAACTAAAGTATAAAAAAAACCATTGATTGCTTTGCTTGCCATCACTGTCATTTTAAATCAAACTAGGGTTTTGATGAATGGCAGCTCAACACAAGAGACACAGGTTTTATTCACCCCCCTCATGTTTCACTTGCCAGTGTCACGGCCTCACCTGTGCTTCCACAGACAAGGCCAACATGAATCATAGACAACTGTTGCCTTCCTCACGCCGGACTCGAGTGTTGCAAAGCCACCGTTGTCCTAGTAAGCCATTTTCACCCGCCATTCTCCGAGACATTCTAGGCCTCATTAACATGAATCTATGAATGTTTAATTATGGTTTCTATTTACAGGCTGCTCTCTCACTACCAGTTTTCGACAATGTGTCCTTCGATCTGGGACAAAGTTGTTGATGAAAACATAAAGAGATATTTAAAATGAAATGCATGCCATGGCATCGCAGCCAGAGTGCTGTGTAATTGTGTCTGACGCTTGGGTTGGTTAATTAATTGCAAATTGGATATGTTCTTTACGCTGACTCCATAGTTGGACTCAAAAACCCCTTTATCGCTCAAAGCTAATTATTTAGCTTGTGAATCCAGGCTGCCCCTGACTCTAGCATGTGTGTGTGTGTGTGTGTGTGTGTGTGCGCATACAGTAGGTCTTTCTATACCACATCCCTGGTGTTTGTATTTTGTCCAGTTATTCATTATACATGAATGTGTTTTACCCTTTCAGCGTTTTCATATTTAATATTGTTCTGCCGTTTGGGAACGGCGTTTCTCTTTGTGTTAAAAATGTCTTTTAATCACATATTCAAAGATGAGATCACAGCGGTGTTCCCGAACATCCGGCCAAACAATGGAAAGCAACGTGTGCTCCAATCAAAAATGATGTCAAGCCCACGCACTTGGTTGATCTTGCAGCAAATTCGATATTCTTCTCGACGTGTGTTACAAAGCTGGTTTATAATTATTTGGAAAGCGTGGCAAAAATGATCCGATGTTGTGATAATGATCCAGAGCTGCCACACATTGCAGACAAAATAAAGGACCTATATTCTGGGTTTGAGTTCTACCTCAGAGCAGCTCACAGCAGCAACTAAGAAATGTAAAAATGAAACAGAAAATACCGTTTTTAATCCCACCAGGAGACAATGTTCTCTGTAGTTAGAAGAAGAACGCTGATGAATTCTGATGAGTAAACCCTTGAAATGTATTAAACAATGCATTGAAGCCTTGAGTTGAGCTGGCGCAGAAGCCCGTTTACTTGCATTGATGACTCTGTTGGACAGAGATGGTTGGTGGGCACATATTGCTGGTCTGGGTATGGATCCCTTGAATAGAATTGTGACAAACATTATTTATAGAGTGGGAGACTGTACAGTTGAAGAATTAAGTTGTGAGTGCTCCCCGGTGGGCAAACGATGTAATGGCAACACTGTTAAAGTCAGCCGCTAATATCGACCTCGACAATTGATTGAACAGGCTTGAGTCAAAGATGACACAGGCAAAGAGGCGGAATTCAAAGATATATCAACACATGTAAGTAAAATTAAAAAATCTCCATTAAATGTCTTTATGTGTAGTGAGTTTTGTTGAGTACTCTTTTTGGTCATTGAAAACAAGAATAAACAAAAAGTTATTTTTGTAATTGCAATTTTGTCAAAGAATAAAACCTAACCTCACTATAGACTGGAACAACTGTAAACATGGTAACTGTACATACTGTAGATGGCAACAAGCCTCAAAATACCTAGAAGACAATGGTCCCTTTTAATAATAAGAAAATGAAAAGTGTTTGCCAAAATTGATTCCAGTTCACTGACTAACTAAAATGTTTTGTTCACTAAAACTTAACAACAAACGATTCTTTAAAGGACAAATCATAGTGCCAAACATAACATAATCCATCAGATATAATAATTGCATTTTCATAAACAAAGAGGAGCACTTAAGAACTAAGAGATACGTGATAAATGATCATACACCTCATACCCTTTCACTACTTCCACTGTGCTACCAAACAAATTTGCAGTTACAGTAAAAGGCAATATAAATTAGCCGGATGCATAATGGAGCGCTCACGTCGAGCTGTTCTCCTCTGCTGCACACAAACCTTCACATTCATGCACACAGCAGTAGCGGTGTGGCTCAGCAGCAGCAGACAAACAAGGGGGGTGGGGGGCGAAGGACAGCGCGAGTTAGCGCAGAGAGAGAGACAGGCGCTCTCATCAGTGACGGGCTCACCGGCTGCGTGGACAGAGCTGTGGCGCAGGAGGAGGAGGAGAGGTGCAACGGGAGGACAAGCTGCCTGAAAACCGGCGCAAAAAAAGAGAGGAGCAGACCGCCGGAGACCACGAGAGAGGGAGGAGAGATCACTGAGGGGGAGAGAAGTCATTCGGAGCAAGGGGAGCTGGAGGAAGCAGACAAGGACACTGAGGGAGGAAAGTGCACAGAGAAGCCTTTCCTGACGACGGGGAGAAGTGAGGGAGTGCGTGCACAAAGTGGAGGAAGAAGAAGAGGAGGAGGAGGAGGAGGAGGAGGAGGAGACGGTGCCTGACAGGAGGTCGAGCTTTCAGGGCTTGACTGACACGAGAGCGGAGCGGAGGAGGAGGAGCGTGAGGGCAAGTTGATGGATTTGATATGGGGGAGAGTATTTTTAGAAGGAGGAGCAGGAGACATGAGAGGAATATTGAGATTAGAGATGCTGCCTTTGAGTGGGGGAGAAAAAACTAGAGAGGAGGAAGAAAAAGAAGAAGAAGAGAGAGAGTAACAGGAGACAGAGAAAAGGGGGAGAGATGTTGAGATCAGAGTGTGACAGAACAGATTATCTCTGGTCTGGTTTCCCCGCAGCAAACCGCTGTGAGTGTGTGTCCGTGTTTGCGCATGAGTGCCTCCATGTGAAAGTGTGTTAGCATGGTTCTCACTGTGACTGTGGCGCTGAGAAGCAGGTCCGCTAAGAGATGAAGCTGCCCTGTGGTTACCTGCAGGACTTAGTGACACTGGTTAAAGCAAAGTGTGGGGGGGGGGGTGAGGCAGGCAAGGAGACGACCAGTGACATCACGAAGAAGCCGAGGCATCAAAAGTGAGATCGCAAAAGTGGGACCAATGAGCACTGGAGACTTTTGTGAATTCTATTAAAGCTTGCTCTTAATAGTGACAAGGAACTGATTGCCGCCTTTGGCTCCCGAACGCTTCCGTGAGCCAGTGCAGCCGAAAAAACACACTCGCGTAACTCAGAAGAAGAGAAACTACGGCGCTGGAACAAGGCAAGCTCTCCTCTAACAGACCGCACCACACCGACCAATTCCCTCCGCTGTCGTCTCATTATTTTAATTACCTTCTCTTCTTCCATTTGTTGTATTTCTTCCCCCCTCTCTGCTTAGCCCTTGGTATTTTGTATTCTATCCTCCTCTCTGCCTCTCTCGTCCCCTCCCTCTCCCTCTCGCCTTCGCTCTCTCTGTCTCATCCTTTCTTGTTCACTGTCACACGAACTGCGGTGGATGCTGTACTCACTCATGTAGAAGCCGCCTTGCTTGGAGCACATTTGCCTAGTTGAATTTTTTTCCCCCTTCCCCTGCTGAGTTGGATGATTGGAGCACTCTCGGATTGAGAGACCGTGGAGAGTTGACCAACAAGTAGCTGCTGCCGAGTTGATCTGAGCCCTACCAGTAGAGGAAGGATGACTTCAAAACACACAGATTTCCTTTGGGTTACTTGTGGGTACTACGTCTGCATTTAGTATCTCTACTGTTAAGCCTGCATGGACCATTAGTACAATATTTATAAGGCCAAACACACATCCAAGTGTGGATTACAGTAGTGGATTTATCCTGGAGCTATATGTGGGCTCCAGCCCCTGAGGCCTGGCTGGGAAATGAAGCCTTTCCCGCGGCTGTAGGAGCGCTGTGGGCAGCTATGGCCCTGGAGGGGCGCTGTCTCCGGCGGGGGTCCCCTGCTATGCTCAGAAAGGGTCGTCAGCGGCGTCCTACAAAGCCAACTCTGGCTCGGGTCACTTCCACTCTGCTATCAAGGACACGCCTGCACGGCCTGAGGCACGTTTGCGTCCCTGGTGGGTCTGTGGGCCGCCGGGCCTTTTGGCTCCTGGCCCTCTGCACCTCCCTGGGGCTGCTTTTATCCTGGTCCTCCAACCGCCTACTGCACTGGCTTTCTTTCCCCACACACACACGAATCCACACAGAGTGGGCCAAAGAACTGGCCTTCCCCACAGTCACTATCTGCAACAACAACCCGATCCGCCTCTACAAGCTCACCAAGAGCGACCTGTATTTCGCTGGCCACTGGCTGGGCCTACTGCTGGCTAACCGGACAGTGAGGCCCATGATCATGGACTTGCTTCAAGAGGACCGTCAGGCCTGGTTCGGGAAGCTGTCGGACTTCAGGCTCTTTCTGCCGCCCAGGAACTTTGAAGGAACCAACCTGGAGTTTATGGACAGACTGAGCCATCAACTGGATGACATGCTCCTCTCGTGCAAATACAGAGGAGAGCCCTGTGGCGCTCACAACTTCTCTTCTGTAAGTTCATTTTTCTGTATTCTGGATGCTTTATGACAACCCTATCAGCATCAAAAACACACCTTGTGCTTTCATCTCCTTACATGCTGTGGTTACTCTCAGTTATTCCAGTTTAAACATCAGTTGCAAATGCATTACATCATGCTGAAACAACATATTGCTTCATTTCATTATCATTTAAGTGGGTATTCTCTTCATAAGGCTGTAAAAACTCTTGTTAAAAACACAGTATACAAGCTCTCGTAACTTCCTGTTATAGCTGACTATTGGAGCTTTCTTGGTCGTCACACAAATAGATTCCCCTGAACAGGAGAATTATTAAATCACCCCCAGAGCTCTTGTTAAATGAATGCTTTTGCAACAAAGATAAAAGAATTGAGCTTTTGCAGAGTACAAAAACATTTGAAAAAATGAAATGAACAGTAGCCATGGTCACATAATGTAACATGGGTTTAATTGATTATATACGAGCTTGAGGCTAGAAAGAGCTACATCTACGAGGCCTCCATATCCAAAAAATTATGTACGATTTTACAGTACTGTGCAGCCCCCCCCCCAGAGGACTTAACTCCGTCTCTGTCTGATCATTCTCATATCTTTCTTTTTTTTCTGTGTGGGTGGTTGCGGGTTTGAGGATTTGTGTGCCCGCTCTGCCTTGTTGGCTCCCTTGGCTCGACTGAACCGTGGCAGATGTTTTCTCTGCAGTAATGCAGAAGCTCAAACTGTCTTTGAAACTTTTCTTCTTTGTCATTTCATGTTCTTTTGTATCTCTGTGCTGTCGCCGAAGAGTCGGTGGCTGACTGAAGGCGAAATGAGACATGGCAGACCTGTGTGCAAACGTTGTGTATGATGGTTGGCGCGTCACTTGTTGCAATGGAGTTCGTTGCTCTTTTCACACTTTAAGTTAAAATGATCAAGATGGTCATGAAACTCTACTTTTGATATCATTTGTACACGTTTTTTTCAGCAATTGCCATTCATTGTATTGTGTGTTGTTGCCTTCAGTGGAGGAGTCCTCCTTTCTTGCAATACATTCTAATTGCTGATCCAGGCACAAGAGATTACGACAAAATAAAAAACATATTTAGTATTTAATACATATAATAATGAGTGGGATGAGGAAGACAGCTGGGCTTGTATGCAGTCAAGTACTTGAACACCAATTTTACATGTCGATGTCCGTTGACAGGTGTTGGGAGGTACTACTGCAAATGTTAACACGTTTTGGCTCCAAAGGGAGCTGTGCAAATTCTGATAAAACGCCTAAAGTGACATCCCTTGGCAGCATCGGTGGGGGATAAAGAGACTAGCTGGAAAAAGAAAAACTTTCCGGTGGTGTGGAGTTAGAAAGAAGTGAGCAAGCCAGAACCCTGTAGACTTGTCCTCATCTCTTCTTGAGACTAGCAGCTCGAGGCCACATCGGCCACTATACCAGCAGAACACCCCCAAACCTCGGACTGAACTGTTGGTGGTCAATTTGCAGTTTGGGTAATGTAGGTGCCGGGTTTTGACAAGAACAAGGGTCCTACGGAGGCGAGGCAGGCCTCCTACCTAGCAATCAGAGAGCAACCATTGGAATTACCAAGTTCCAAGTATGCCGATGTGCGTATTTTATTTATTTAGAATAATATAGTACGTTACAATTCTTTTGTAGGAATAATGTTTTTTCATTTCTCAAAACAATATACACAACCACTTGACCTTGCGATTGTAAAACACACTTTTCACACTCAACAGAAACAAAATAAAACTCATCAAAACTATCTTGGTTTGCTCTTTCCACTTCCAACAATCCCCAACTCTGGTTTGGTCAAAATCAAGCTTTAATTCACCGAGTTAGATGTGGAATCGTGCTGCTCTACCCTGCCGTCTCTCTCTGCAGTTGCCGTCATCGGTGCTATTAATAGATTGCTCAACGGATCTGTAGAGGTAACTTTTAAATCGGGCCTTGTAGAGCTAATATGAGTGAAGATTCAGCAACTGGATTCCCTATTTATCTCTTCAAATGTGTTCAGAAACAGATTTCGGCGCACTGCTGATGTGAAGTAACTGAAAGTTTCCAAGTATTATTTTGTTAGGAGCCGGGAGGATACATGTGTGTCCTTGAATATGTTCTGAACGAAGGACTCGGTCCTCGGTAGAATTTAAAGGATCCTCGACATTTGAACAGACCTTCGGCAGGATCCAATGAAGTAGCATCTGAAATTTTAAACATATTTCCTTGACTTTGAGAAACACCCGATGTCTTTGGTCCTGCATCCTCTATTACAATCCTCTTTCTGTCAACCATGTGAGCCATGAACAGTGTGTTGTGCTGAGCTGTTCTTTCTGAACCAACCCAACTGTGGGTTGGTAGGTAGCCCAGATACAAATGCATGTACACAAGAACTGAAGTAGTGCGTTTTTCCATAATAAGCCTCCTTTAATAAGGTTAGACTGGCCAGGTCTTTACCTGGAGATGTGTACGACATGAAAGGAAGGAAGTCTATTCTAATCCCTCATAATTGTGAGACGATTCAAGTTCCAAGTTTTACAGTGTTGGCATTGAAAACTTTTTAAGAAACCCATTTAATTTCAAGCATGTCACCGAGTGCACTCCCTAACGTTAAAACCAACCACTCAAAGGCAGCATAATTACAATCAGCACTCCAGCAAACATAAAAGGGCCGCCTTCATTTCCCTAAAATGCAGTGTATAAAATCATGTGCTCACATTTTGTAATTGTCGTATACAGGCTCATGGTCAGCAGTTGAATTGACTGAATGACTTTCATATGTTTTTCCAGCTCAGCTGCATCACAACGGTGCCATACAAATGAAGGGATTTATCAAAACCTTGCCCCCAAGCCAGTATCCATTAACAAGGTTTTCGAAGCGACCACATTATTTTGAGTGCAGTGACATTTTCCTTCTTTTGCCGAATTTAGAGGTCAGTGCAGAGAGTGTTTTTGTAGGTTTGTTCATGTGCCTGCTTTATTAGCTCGATGTTCAGACGTCAGTTTTTATGTCATGGTAATGCATTCACGGGGTCCGGATTTAGTTTCACAATGACTATTACCACGGTGGAACTTCTAATGTGAAATTAATTGAGCATGTAAACCCTTTTTGGCGATTTGAGTGTAGTAGCAGTTCGACCCAAGCTGAATGATTTTCTGGCATTAAATATATATAAGATTGGATCAAGCTGCTGATAATGAAGGGGAAAATTGTCCTTGATAGCATCTACTGTGCAAATTTAAGAAAATCAATCTGTACAATCACTCTTAAATAGGAGTAAATCCAAAAGCGGATGAGACATTGAGGGATAAAGTTACTGCAGCGGCCCACAATGGCACTGCACAGTCGCACTTATTTGGATCCCAAACTCACTGAGACCAGTAATAACATGTAACAGAATATAAATATTTAAAGTGTGTTATATTTTGGTAGTTACAAGGGCAATGTGTTGGATATTGTCAGCTGTACTTTGCAGATCACAGCCACATTGGCCCCAGTCCTGCCTGCTTCTTCATCTTGTTTTTTCCCTCACAGGGGGTCTTATGCCGTTAACGGGCCCTGGTGGTTTTGCTAATCTCATTAGCCTGCTGCCGCAAGTCAGCAAAGACTCCCCTAGGCCTATTCATTATCACTGCATTTAGAGCACTGTCACTCTAAAACCAGAGAGGAGGCAACAACCTGATTACACATGGGATAGGGAACACACGCACACAGACTTGTGAGTAAATAAACAAGAGAATCCTTGCGTTGTGTATGTATAAAAATGTGCATACCTGCACGATTGTCTTGGAAAACCAGTGAGAAATCCAGTTTTGATTGCGGTCGGTTATTACAGGATTATAAGTACAGAGGATGCTTTGAACTGTAGCAGGGTTGTGGGGGGAGGAGAAAGCTACAGAGGTTGCGAGGGAGAGATGATATAGAGAAAGAGCATCTGGTTGGGAATACAAATGTGTCCCATAACTCTGGCCAACCTCTTGCAGCAGCAGGATTCCATGTGCTGAATCTACGGTATCACAGTGAATGTGAACTAGAAGGCTGGCTAATCAATAAATCTGTTAGCTTCTTTCAGTAGTTTATGATGGTCTATTTTGCGCCCACATCTCCAATACTCTCAGCCACCCACAGTAAGTCCTAATCTAGCGGCGGGGGGATGCTGGAGATGGAATGAGGCACCAAAGGCCAGGCTAACGGTTCTACCCATCCACAATAAAATGTAAATGATAGCTAGCTGCGGATTGATAAGCCTCTCTCCTCGGGACAGATGCACATCTCCCGCTCTCGCAGCTTTCTCGAGGACGAGATATTTACACTTGCAATGACAAATTAAGCAGTGCTCAGAGTTGGAGAGCAGCACCTAATCACACTCTAGGCAGGGTGTGAAAAAAAGGTGAAGCTCTGTGCCTGGCCCCTGTAATGTATGAAATCTATCTCCAGAGAAATCCCATAATTGCAGAGCCACAGTAATGCTGCACTACCCTCTTTAAGTGTTTGGACTGAGCAGGTTTGCTCATGTGTGTTTTTGAATGGTGAGTTATATGGGGACATTACTGTGGGTCAGATTTTGTGTTATGAAGGTTTGGGCTTTTTATGGAAGCTGCGAGAACCTTTTTTTAAATATTAACAATGGATGAAATGTGAAAGCAATCGCTTGTAGTGAACCCACAGAGAATGATCACCTCACTACACATTTCCCCACTGCTCTACAAAGAGTTTTTAGTGTCTTTCAGGTCATTGTTTTGGTTTTATGGTCGACAACTTTGCTCTTAAAAACCTCAGCACTAAATGGCAAACACACATTGGAGCATGTAATAGCTGTCAGGAGTGAAAAGGAGAGCGTAAATTGGACTTCCTTTCATCAGGAGGCCAGAAACGCGCCTCTACCTGAGCACTAATGCTGCTCTGTGTGTCTGCTGGATGTATAGCACGGAACTTGTCATATCCAATTAAAAGCCAATGATACTGTATGTCCCTGATGTGTTCACAGCTTCTTTCTGCTGCTCG